AAAAAGTTGTGATTCACTTATGACTGCACAGCTAGCAAGTACGTTGGGAAATAGGGAAGAATTCAAGCCCAGGCTTCTGGCTGTCTGTATTTTCCATCTATACTCTAATGCTCTATATTCTGGCCAGAAAGGATTTCTCACACCCAGGGTTGGTCCTTCTGTTCTCCAGAATGGCTTGCTCATTTAGCTCCATTCCTTGGGGAGGAGTTCAGCAAATCAGAAAATGTAAAATTCCAACGTTAGCACCACTGATCACAAGCCTCAGTAAACACCATTTTAATATCCCTATGTTCCCTCCAAGCTATCAGCTGATAGCTATCGCTTAAACCCACCCACAGAATGATAATAGTGAAATTTATATAGTACTTTAATGTTTCCAAAGTACTTTATATACATTCTCTCCTAATCCTCCCAACCTCCCTGTGCTGATAACTGCTATAGGTATTGTCCCCATTTTACTGGTAAGGCTCTAAGAAACTCAATGCCTTCCCCAAGATCATTCAAATAAGTGTCAGAGTCCCCATTCAAAGCCAAGAAGGCTCAGAGTTCTGCACTCTTATCTACCAAGCCATCAAAAAATGCCAATTTGGGTCAATTCGTGTGGGAGAAAGCTGGGGTGGAGAAATGGGGGAGGAAAATGGTGGTAGGACTGGACAGTTATGTTTGGACCAGAATATGGAAGAGGACTCAGACTTGGGAATTACAGGAATTCAGTTCAGTCCTAAGGAAAAACTTCATAACAATTAGAGTTGCCTCAAAGTAGAATGGTCTGTCTCAAGAGGTGATGAGTTCCCCATCAGTAGAGATCTTCAACTGAAGACCAATTGGATGGCCACTTCTCAGGGATATTGAAAAGGAGATTCTGGCTTTATGGAAAGGGAGCAGCAACAGATTGAGATTCAGAGGCCTGCATGTGAATCCAGGCTCCCCTGCTTGTATCTGTGTGATCTTGGAGAATTCACTTCACTTGTTGACCCTCACTCTTCTCCAGTAAAATGGGGGAGTGGAAGCTGGACTAGGGCTCTTTCAGTTCTGGAGTGCTGGAATCGAGAAGATCTGAGTTCAAACGTGACCTCAGACTCATTAGCTTTGTGACTCTGGACAAGTCACTTTGGCCTGCCTCAGTTTCCTCATCTGCAAAATAGGGATAATACCAGTGCCTGCTTTCCAAAGTTGTTATAAGGATGAAATGAGATATTTGTTAAGCACTTTGCAAACCCCAAAGCACTATTTTCAGTCATTTTTCAGTTGTGACTGACTTTTCCATTTGGGGTTTTCTTGACAAATACTTTCCATTTCCTTCTCTTTCATTTTACAGATGAGGAAACTGAGGTAAGCAAGATTAAATGACTCGCCCAGGGTCACACAGCTAGCAAGTGTCTGAGATCAATTTGAACTCAGATCTTCCCGACTTCAGGCCCAGTGCTTTATCCACTGAGCTGTCTCACTATCCCAAAACACTGTATAAACACTAACTATTAGCATTATTAAATTCCTGTTAGTCCCTTCTGACTGGGAATCTAATATCGAGAAAGGGTGGAGTGACAGTTATCAGAAAGCATGGTGAAAGGCACTGATATGCAGTGGTTCCTATGACATTTGTAATAGATTTTTTTTGCCCACTTGCCCATCCATTTATCCCAGAAGCTCTTAGTGAAAGGTTCCCATGACACTACCATTGAAACTAAATTCACATCTTTGGAATAACATTGGCCATAATGCCCTGAAGGCAAGCCCCCGGTTGTGGGGTTGAAGCAGGTGACATGAGCTGAGCTGGATGGACCAGACTGATTCTGCCAAACTAGGATAAGATTCTGAAGCTCATTTTAATTTGGGTTCCCTCCAACCCCCTTCCCAAATCTCTTGGAAATCTAGCTTTGATAAGACCACAAAAGTGCCCAGGGAATTTGTGGGTCCCAAACTCCCTCCTGCTTCGGTTTATGAAAATGCACATTCTGTCATTTGAAAATACCACTTTCTCAGCTTCCAGCCTAATTCCACATGAATCCTTTTACAATAATGAGTTAGGTTCTGCCTTAGGCTCTTTACAATCTAGTTCAGGAGACATGACATTTGCATGAAGCGACTTGGAAACATAATTAAAGTGGCTTGTGAGGAGTCAGTGTGATGCAGTGAGTGGAGCTGGGGACCTAGAGTCAGAAAGACCTAGGTTCAGAAGCCCACCTTTGTGACCATGGGCAAGGCATCAAACATCCCTGAGCCTCCCTTTCCTCCTAACTCTTGGGGGTTTTACAAGACTCAAACAAAAGAAAGCTTGTATAAAGTGACCCATTCTTTAAGGCCCAACTCAAATCCCGCCTCCTCCAGGAAGTCTGCCCTGTTCCAACATGTTCCCATCTTTTCTGTGACCACCTTTCCTGGGACTTCACAGAACACTGTACCTCTCATGGTAACCTCGTATATAAGAGTATCTGATTTCCTTCTAGACTGGTACTTCCAGGAGGCAGGGTTACCTGCTTCTCCTGTAAGCTTTGTGTGGGCTGAGGGCAAGTGCTGCTATGTAAATTCCACCTGCAGGTGAAAGTTGATTGGAGATCGAATCTGGGGCAGCCTCTGGCCTGTTATGCCCTAGGAGGTCCACAATGACTTTACTTTGGAAACCTTTTGTTTGAATTTTAAATAGGCTCTCAGTGCATCTAAGAAAATACAGCACAAAAGTGCAGTGATTGGACCAGAGATCGAACCCCTAGAAGGATCCAGAGAGTGTAGCTTTGAAAAGAAAAGACTGGGAGGAAAGGGGTGGGGAAAGATGGGGAGAGAGAAACAGACGGACAGACACAGAGAGAGACATAGAGAGACAGACACAGGGACAGTGAGAGACAGACAAAGATACAGAGAAAGGAGGAGGAGGAATGATACTTATCTTCAAACTATCTGCAAGACTGTGCTAGAACCGAATACCAGAGAATTAATTGCAGGGGGAAAGATTTAGTCTTGATGTGAAGAAAAATGGTATAAAACATATCGGAGAAATACATGAGGAGAAATGGAGTAAGCTGCTTATGGGGCAATGCCATGGACAGGCCTTGTATGCTACCCTTGCCCATGCCATGTCTGGACATCTAGAGGAAGCCCCCAGAGTGGTGAGCAAGCTGCTGGTGGAGGGCTTAAGCGGGACCAGGGTCCCAGCATAGGATCCCTTCCAGCGCCAATCAGAGGGGACCTTTGAAGTCATCTGGTCATCTAGTTATTGATGAGGAAACTGAAGCCCAGAGAAGGGAAAAGACTTGCCGGAGGCTTCACAGCTACTGACAGAGCTAGGATTTGAACCTAGGTCGTCAGAATCCGAACGGAGCACTTTTCTCACGGTTCCTTTGAATGTCTGGAGGAAGTGCCCACACTGATGCGAACCAGCGCCATGGGACTGTGAAAAACTTCTCAACAATCAGAGAGGGATCCAAAAATAGGGATGATTAGCTCCCTGTCAATGGAAGTCTTTGAACGGAGACTGAATGGGACGAAGCAGGAATTGCAGATTGAACTAGACTAAATGCCCTCTGAGGTCTGAGCACGATCCTGGTCCCTGATCCCTGTTGAGCTCAAGAGAGAGGCTGCACATTGATCTTCACGTGCTAATTTCCGGAATCCTGGGTACAAAGTACATAGGAAGGCTTTTTTTTGTGGAAGGGTTTTGACGGAGGAGGCTGTACAGAGCAGCGGAAGCAAAGGGAGAGGGCAGATGCGGCCGGCCCAGGGATGTCCAGGAGGGGGCAGAGGCGCCTGCGAAGCCCCCAAGCACAGCTGGAAACAGCTGGCTACAGTTGGCAACAGCTGGCATCCCAACACAGCCCTGCTCCCCGAGCGTCCCTGGGGACCTTGAGCTGGTCAGCATGCCCTTTGGCAAGAAGTTTGAGTCTACTTTAAAGTAGATTTTGCTCTTTGGTCTATTGTAGATACCGAAAATATAAGAAAATAAAGACGTTTCAGACCGTCCAAGGTGCGCTGCTCAGAGTGCCCTACGGGCTTGGGCGACCGTCCGCGCCGGGGAGCGGGAGCCGGAGCGGGGACTACGCCTCCCTCCTGGCTCAGTCGTGGGTTTAACCCCGTCCCGGGCCGAGGCAGGCGCCGAGGCACTCACCGTGGGAGCGAGCGCTTGTCCAGTCTGGCACCGCGGCCCCGGGGCAGCTGCGCACGGGCTGCCAGGGCGTCCGCCTCGGGCTCGACCCCCGCACCAGCCTGCAGGCTCAGCGCGAGACAGAGCAGGGGACCCACGAACGTGTCCGCAGAATCCTGCCCTCCGCGCCCGGGGCCCTCGTTCTGCTCCGTGAGCCCGGAGACCCCCACGTCGGGGCTGGACACAGAGAGGAGGAGGAGCCGACCCGAGGGCGGGGACCGGGCTCAGAGGAGGCTTGGGTGCACGGACGGGACTGACAGACTGACGGACGGACTGACGGTCCGAGGCAGGTAGCGCGGTGGCTCCTCCCCCCCCCACTTCAGTCCTCCCGCCACGCCTCCGCCCCACCCCGCGCGGGCACCTTCGCCCTCGACCTCAAGCCCAGCCCGGGAGCCAGAGACAGACTTCGACGGAGGAGACTGAGAGTCCTCGAGTGCTGCCCCTGCTGCCCCTCGGGGCTCTGCAGGAGGCCCCGACCTCGCGGGACACGCCCGGCCCCGCAGCCTCGCGGCTCCAGACAGCGCGGTGGGTCCAGCTGAGGACGCAGCTGCGGGCAGGGGACAGCTTCTGGCTTTGCCTTCGTTCTTCTCCTCCTGGCGCTGCCGGGCTTTCTTTATTTCTTATTTTCTTCGGTCTCCGCTTCTCTTTTTATACTCGCCGTGTGTCCCTTCTGCTTCCTGCCTCTCCCCTCCTTCTTTCTCTGTCTGTATCCCAGTGTGTATCACTGTGCCTGTCTGTCTGTGTCTGTCTGTCTGTCCCTCCCTCCCTCTTTTCCCTACTGCCTGTCTCTTGCTGTTCTCTCCCACCTGCCTCTCTTCCACCCTCTCGTGACTCTCCTCTCTTCCCCTATCCTTTCTCTCCTCTCTTCCCCCATCCTTCTCTCCTCTCTCTCCTTTCGCACTCCCTCCTTCCCATCTCCCCTCCCCCAGCCGTGGTTCCTGGGAGTATTTGGGAGAATCTCTGGGCTGAGGCTCAGTTCCTGCTCTGCTATGCTCGCGGTGACTTGTCCGTCCATCTAGAAAAAGCCGCCCACGGGTCCTCCAGGAAAGCAGCAAAAGCGGCTTTCCCCACCTTCAGAGGAACTCTTAAGGGAGGAAGACTGACTCCGGGCTCTTCTGGGTCCCTCAGGTTATTTGTCAGAGGCAGTGTGACCACCAGGCAGCCTCCCTTGACCCTTGGAGACTGTTTCCATTTTAATTTTATTTCACAGGGTTCAGGATTTCCTTTTTTTATTTCCCATAAGTCTTCACACTTAAGTTTATTTTTTAACAAAACATTTCAATTCCTAGTTCTTGATTTCAAAGCCCATCCGTGAATGGACCGCTTGTGAATCCATCCCTTTCACCCCTAGTTAACTCCCTCAGACTCTACCCTTGCATAGCTCAGCCTTAACAGAAGGGAGGCAAGGGGAGGGGAGAGTGGAGCAAGGGCAGAGCAGCCAGATCTGGCAGCAGGAGAGGGGCAGACCAGCAGGACCATGAGACTCTTCTCCAGGGCGCCCTTCGGTGGAATGGCCCTGCTCTGGCTCCTTGGACTTTTGCTGTGGGAGCTGGGCAGCAGCAGCTTCCATGGGAATTACCTCCACACCTCCAGCTTCCTCCAGAGGAGACTCAGTGGCTGGGAGAAGCGGGAAATGCAACGGGAGATCCTGTCCATCTTGGGGTTGCCAGGCCGCCCCAGGCCCAGGCCCCCCCCAGGAGCCAAGCTGCCATCGTCAGCCCCACTCTTCATGTTGGACCTGTACCATGCCATGGCCAGTGAAGAGGAAGATGGGCAAGGCAGTGATGATGCAGATGTGTCCTGGGGCCGTGGGGTCTCCAGGCCTGTGCTGACCAGTCTGAGCACCCAGAGCCCTCCTCTGGAACGGGTCATCAGCCATGCTGACATGGTCATGAGCTTCGTAAATATGGGTGAGTGTGAGACCCAGGGGGGAAAGGGAGGAGCAGCACAGAGAAAGAGAGGGGGACCCCACCAGGGGTAAATGATTAATGTGAACACAAAGAAGCAAACAGTGGATTTGGAGTTCACAGGTCCTTTAGATCCCAACTTTGCTATTTGTTGTCTGTGTGGCCTTGGATGGGTCATTTCCCTTATTTGGAACTCAGTTTACTCTTCTGTGAAATGGGGGGGTTGGACTACATGGTTTCTATATCCTATCAACCTTGGACTCTTGGAGGGCAAGGGAAGGGCATTCCGAAGTGTCATAAGATGCTTGTTCCAATGTCTAATATAAACCCCTCAGGAAATCCATAAAAGAAGGAGAAGCCCCCCAGGTTACCCTACAGAAAAGAAGCCCTACAGGAAAAGGATACTCACCCAGTCTCCTAGGCAGGCAGCTCTGGCAGAAACTGGGGCCAGGCTAGCTGAGAGAGAGTGGCCCAAGTCCAGAGATTCCAAAATCCCCCAGCTTCAGGGGACAAGACTGTGGTTGATTTCCAATGCGCTCTTTCAAGTTCAGGTGTTTTGTTTTGTTTTGTTTTTTCAACAGTTCAAGTTCAGTTACTTTCATGGAGGCACTTTCACAGATAGAGCCCTAGGCCTGGAGTCAGGCTTCAGACATTTATTAGATGTGTGACCCTGGGCAAGTCACCTCACCTCTGTTTGCCTCAATTTCCTCAACTGTAAAAAGGGGATGATAGCACCATACAGGGTTGTTGTGAGCATCAAATGAGATAATATTTGTAAGAAGCTCTTAGCACAGTGCGTGGTACATAGTAGGTTATTTTATATGTGTGTATATGTATGTGTTTGTGTGTGTGTGTATGTATGCTTAAACCCATGCCCTTACTAGGTACAAGAAAGACCCTGTGGCCCAGCTCTGTGTGTGTGTGTGTGTGTGTGTGTGTGTGTGTGTGTGTGTGTGTGTGTGTGTGTGTGTGGTTTGCGGGGGAGATAAACAGATGAAATGATACCATCCCTGAACCACACACATAACTCAGGATGTTTGCAGTGGGGATGACTTGGACGGAAAGGAGAGTAATACAAGGTCCCCACGTGGGGGCCACCAGAAGGCAGCCCAGAGTGCTTTGGGAGCTGGGGGACATGAGAGAAGAAGGAATCAGGGAAGGCTTCTCAGAGGAGGCAGTGTCCCAGCTGGGTCAGAATTAGACAGGCTCTTCTGATATCTTGTTTTTGTCCTGGTCTGCGTTTGGCCTGGGCCCTGCTCCTTCAGGCTGAACATTTATCCCATAAATGAAATATGCACACACACAGAAGTATATATGCACAAATACAGCAATAAATGGGCAGAGACTCTGAGAGGAGACAGAAAAGAAGTAACTGCTGAATTATTCAGTTTGTTGTAATGGAGAGTTTAAGTTGGTTTTGTTAAAGTTAAGTTCATAATGAATTATTTATTTTAAAGAGAGAAAAAAGATTCCAAGTGGTTTCTGCCATTTATCCTTCAGCCCTCACTGGGATCGAGGTTTATGTATATAATTGCCTCACTGAACTATTTTCCCGGTCCTGGGTTATCTGCAGCCCCAGAGGAAATCAAATTTCTCCCATTTCAGAAGATTTTTGGTGAACAGATCTCATGCTGAGGGTATAGGTCCTTCCTGTCTGGCCCGTAGCATACTAGAAAGACCCTTGGCCTGAGCAGCTGCTTCTGAGCCCAGCCCTGCCACCAGCCTACTGTCTAACCTGGGCAAGTCACTTCATTCTGGGTAGGGAGGGGTCCTTCTTACTTCATCTAGAAAATGGAACTACTCTTCCTTTCACTGCCTGACTCACAGGGAAAGATAAACATTTTAAGTGCTATGGAAATTTGTTTTTCAGACCTGTAAGCCCTCCTACTTTAGAAATATCCCTTTTGTCAGGCCCACAATTTCATGATTCAACATATGTCTTAACAATACAAATCTCTTCCTCCTGAAAACTCTATTCCTGATTTGTTCACTCCATTTAAATGAAAAATAAATGTAATAATAATAATAATCGCTAACACTTACATAGTTCTTTAAGGTTTACAAAGAACTTTACAAATATAATCTCATTTTACACTGATCACAGCCCTGGGAGGTAGTTAACACTATTTTACAAATAAAGAAACTGAGACAGATAAAATGACTTGCCTGGTGTCACACTGCTAGCACCTGAGATCAGAGTTGAACCCGAGTCTTCCTGACCCCACTCCCAGCACTTTGTCCACTGTTTCTTATACTCCTTCTCCTCCCCTTTTCAGTCAGCTATTAGATTAGTCTTCCTCTCCACCTTTTCTCATAAAACATCAGTGCTAGAAGGGATCTCGGAGATCACTGAGTCCAGCACGCCCATTTTACAGAAGGGGAAACTGAATTGCAAACAATGTTTATTTATTTATTGAAGCAGTCAGGGTTAAGTGACTTGCCCAGGGTCACACATCTAGTAAGTGTATGAGGATGGGTTTAAACTCAGGTCCTCCTGACTCCAGGGCTGGTGTTCCATTCACTTAGCTGCCCTTTTTACAACGGATGTTATAAAGAGAGTTAGTGACAGAGCCTGGCCTGGAATCAGAGCTCCTTCAGGTCACTTGTCTCTTTCTACCACACCCCACATCCTCCCCAAGGGTTTCAAAAAACAGTATTTGGTTATACAAAATTGGAATTCAAGGTTCTTTGTTATTGGGGTTTGTTTGTTTAATCACAAATGCTAGGTATTGATCTGCATTTTAACCTGGAGTAAAGACCTTAGAATTTGTGGATAGATTTCAGGGGTGGGGTGTCTCTGAATGTGGATGGGGGAAAATATCTTTATTTTCATCAGCCTCTGAAATTTAACATTTCCTTCCAATATTTAAAAACACGTCTTAGAGAAGGGAGTCCAGAGTCAAAGCCAAACAGACTAGACTGGAAGGGGTCCATGACGTAGGAAAGATTCCGATGCCCTGTCTTGGGGGGGGAGGATCATTGTCTTCAAGGATCTGAAGGGCTTTCGTGTGGAAGACAGATTAGACTTGTGTGTTTGACTCTCAGAGAGCAGAACCAGAAAGTGGGAGACAGCAGCTCAAAGTGAGGCGGTGGGCTCCCCTGACGTGCTAGCTAGCGAGCTCCCTGGCCATAGAGGTCTCCAAGCAGAGACTGCATGACCACTTCTCCGAGATCCTGTAGTTGGGGGAGGGGGGGTTTGTACCAGTGGAGCAGAGGAGAGGTTGCACCAGATGCGATCTGAGGTCCTCTGATAACATCATCCCCTGATAGAAAGGTTTATCCAGTTTTCCAGAAGACTCCCTACCTAGGCAGCTAAGTGGTGTATAGTATGCTGGCCTCAGAGTTAGGAATATCTGAGTTTGAATCTTGCCCCAGATGTTTCCCAGCTGTGTAACCCTGAGCCTCAGTTTCCTCCTGTATAAAATAAGAACATTCCTTTTGTCAGGCGCCCATAAGGCAGCCAGGGATGACAATGCCATATACCTCCCAAATGAAATAATATTTGTAAAGTGTTTTGCAAAGCTTAAAACATCATAAGAGGGGCAGCTAGGTGGTGAAGTGGATAGAGCAATGGCACTTGAGTCAGGAGGACCTGAGTTCAAATCCAGCCTCAGATACTTACCAGATGTGTGACCCTGGGCAAGTCACTTGACCCCAATTGCCTCAGAACAAACAAACAAAAAAGTCATAACAACATAAAGCAATTTTCAATGAGCACCGAACTTAAAGTCTTAAGAACTTCATTCATATCATAGCCCTACTCCTGATTTCCCCTGGTGACCTTGGGTAAATTACTTAACCTGTCTGGGCATCATTGTCCTCATCTCTAAAATGAAGGATTTGACCTCCAAAGGCCCTTCCACCTCTAAATCTATAGTCTGCTGGGGAATATTTGCTTTCCGCCAGAAACTTATAAATTGCCATCCTCGGAGCAGCTCAACTGGATCAACTGGTCAGCAAGGGGAGTTCTTTTTCTGCCCAGGCTCCTGCTGGTGGCTTTGCTTTCACAGGGATGAGCAGTGGTGTGGGGTTTTGGAGGCCTGAAACCCCAAAGAAACAGTTCTATTGCTCCTGCTAAGTTCCAGGAGGAACCTTGTGATGTCAGAATGTGACTTTGCTGGGACCTGAGGTGGAGGGGATGCTGTCAGATAATATTTAGAAGAAAACCTCGACTGAAGCCCACTCTAACAGTACCAATCAGGGGGTGTTTTCCATCCAACAAATGTTTATTAAGCACCGACTGTGTGCTGAGCCCTGTACTTGGTGTTGCTGGGGGGACAGAGGCTTAAGAAGCAGGCGTGGTGTGATGGGGTAGACAGAGCACAAAACTGGAAGCTGTGACCACGGAGGTCAGTGGACCAGCAGCCTGCTTCTCACTCTCCGTGTTGCCTTGGGCAAATCAGTTTATTTCTCTGAGCCTCAGTGGATAGAATACCAGGCTTGAAGTCAGGAAGACTCATCTGGCTGAGTTCAAATCTGGCCTCAGACACTTACTAACTGGGTGACCCTGGCTGAGTCACTTAACTCTGTTTGCCTCAGTTTCCTCATCTATAAAATGAGTTGGAGAAGGAAAGGCAAACCACTCCAGTATCTTTGACAAGAAAATGCCAAATGGGGTCATAAAGAGTAGGGCATAGCTGAAACCACTCGATAACAACATAAAATGGATGGGTAGAGTGTCTGACACAAGACTGGAGGCTCATAGATTTAGAGCTGTAAGCAACACCTTAGAGATGATCTCATCTAACCCCACCGTTTTACAGATGAGAAAACTGAGGCCAGATGATCTCTAAGCTCTCTTCCAGTTCTGTCATTCTGTAGTTAAGACCCAGTAATAAGACCCAGTCTGTGTGTAAGGAAACAAATGTTCCAAGTCAAGCCTCCTGCCTCTGAGTCCAAAGCACTTAGTCTCCACTGTACCACATGAGAGAACATATGTGAAAGCATTTATAGACATTTGAGAGATTCTGCTGAATTTTTATGATAGGATTTCAACAGGCAAA